CCCCAGGGAGTGCCCCACGACAACCAAGTTTGTACTACTTGCTCCTTGCCACTGATAATTTGGAACAGATCTGACATCAAACCTAAGTTTGGCTAATGAGATTCACATTTCAAAGAAGTTGAAATTGGGATTTAAAAAATATATGTTATCTTAGCAAATGTCCTGAACACATAGAGCTAAATTCTAGAAATGTCGATGGCCTTCTGCTACCTACCCTGTGGACCTGGAAGTAAAGAAGACCAATATAAAGAGAATCAAACAAAGCAGACAGATAGAGATGTTTGGATTTCTGACAGGTTTTTCATTCTTATAACCAGTTCTTTTTTCTTAGACCGTTTTATATTCTGCCATGAGGTTTCTTGACACACCCTTATAAATTCTTCCTTCTTGTTGAAGCAAGCTTAGTGGTTTCTGTTACCTACAATCAAACAATCCTGATTAGTATGCCGCTGTGCCGGCCCTTCCCCCTACGTGATTGAACCGTGGAGAAAAGTGGGAGATATCTCAAGAATTCTATTCAACACTTTTTCTTTATGATCAAAAAGGTTCTCCTGGCAACAGAAAAATCTTTGATTCTATACAAGATGTACAGTATTAATATTTTATTGCCTACAGACCAGACCAGAGTAAGGAATTGATATCGTTGCTTAAGTTCCTGAAAAATCAGAACTCCTCTTCTTTATGTTTTTCTTTTGATAAATCTTTGAAGTTAAAAAATTTACAGAAATAGTATTTTGTTCAAATGGTAGCAATAAAAGTAATCCTAAAAGTCAGGTCTTTGTTTCCCTCTGGCTCCCCAAATAGAGAGGAGAGGTTGACAAAAGTTGTAAGGAATACATGAGTAATTCCGGATAAGCTCTGACTCAGGATGTGATTAAAATATACATGTAGGTTACGGTGCAGGTACATTTTTCCATTGATGAGAAAATACAAGTTTGAGTGACTGAATGCAATCAAACCACCATTGTTGTTTACATCTTTGATGCCAAATAGTACTTTGTAGTTTAGGAGTTTGGCCAAATGTTTCACCTTTAACTGGTTGTTTTGTTATAGAATAATTCTGGCCTGAAATACTATCATTCATCATTTTCATTCTAACATGATCTTTATGTTGTCAATTAAACAATAAACTGGAAGAAGCATGACCTTTTAAACCAAGAAATCTTCAAACCATTGCTTAATTAGGCATACCACACACAAGGTTACAATCTCAACAAGACCGAGTTTTGAACAATTCTCTTTAATTTTATACCAATGGTCTGTGTAGCATCCAGCTGCTCTGGCTGCTTCACTTCGTGTTATTACAAACTGGAAGACAAGTCTCCCTCCATACCAATGACACGGTTTTACTATCCCAAACCAAAAGGGACTGCAAAAAAGCAATTTGTCCTGATAACTCATTAATGTCAGAAAGAACCAGTTTAACAACAATTTTATCTACACAGAAATTACGCTTTAGGGTAGACACTATCCAACATTTAAATAGGCAATACTAAGTAATCTATCCAATGGGTCAAGTTTTTAAATTACTTGAGAGTGTATTTTGTAGCTCACTGATCCGGACGGAAAATCTGGAAGTCTACACTGTAGAAAATTGACAGTTGCCTTATGAAGTTCATCTTTTACTACTGGTAATAGCCATGCTAAGAAAACTTTTAGTATGTAATAATTTTTTGTTGTTGAGTATAGTAAGCAGCTCTGGGTCTAGTCAAACACATTCTGGACTCTTCAGGAGATTCAAAACTGGTCCTGAGGAAACTGTGGTTTGGCCACTTGACCCCTTACACTTCCAGTCTTTGGGAAGTGGGTTGGCTGTCTCACTAGGCGAGAACACTGGTCATCACCAACACAAGCCACTCAACTGGTATGCAATTAACAACACGTAATAGCTGTTAGAAAACACAAGTTCCAGATATCTATCTACACTTTCTATGAAAGCTCTGTGAAAATCAAGGTTATTTAAGTCTGTTGGTTTGATGTGTGCTCCATATAGCTATTGGGAACTTTCAAGGTACCTCTAGGACCAGCAAGAAGGATTAGAAGAAGTGGAGTGTCCAGGGCTATGGCCACCCCTTCAACCCAGTAGTTCTTATTTTAACTGACTGAAATGTTAGATTTCTGAGTAGGATTCCTTTGAAGGTAGTGTTTGAAAAGCAGAGTATAAGGGAGATGCTCTTCATTTATTCTTAGTAGAGTGTGGTAATCCCCATATCATCAGAGCTCAAAAGAGTTTTAAATCTAGATCAAGGAAGATTATCTCCCTCCTCCTTGAAAACTCTTTTAATGAAATACCCTTCAGTGTTACAAGCATTACATTCTTAGCTTTGATTGTGGTATATATGCAAAACAGCCAAAGAGGTTTCTGCTTTTGTTGCAAAATTTTATTAAATAACATTGCTTATTAGGCTGTCAAAGTCCCATATGATACATTTCAATTAGAAATAATTTGCAAGAAACATTCATTCTCTCCTGAAAAATAGGTAGATTTGCTTCCATTATATAATGAAACTTACGTATCCCATTGCATGTCCCTTTACACTTTGGCTGCTTAGGGAGCTCAGGACTTAATGTAGTCCTTCATTCTGGTTACTATATTTGTTTCTTCCTCCTTCAATGGTTTTGATGTTGTACTTCTATTTGAACAGCCTTATGTGTCTTTTTATCACAAACAGGCAAGGTATTAATAATGAATGAACACGAATAGATAAGCCAATAATGAAATTTAAAAATTGAGGAACATCCTAAATATTACTGAAAATCAAGAGAATTATATAATTCCATGACAATTTGCTTATGTTCAGGTCTCTTACCCTGTACCACCAACTATTGAAACACAGCCACGTTTCAAGCTATTAGCAAAATAAATCTCCAAGGAGCTCGAAGAGATTCTCTTTTAAGTTCACACACTAAAATTCATGTATTTTACGTGATCCTCACTCATCTGGTGTATGCTTACCCCTGTATCAGATACAGTTGTATTATGCTTCAAGGGGTTCCTACTGTTTTCAAGATGAAGAAACAAATCTTATGAATGACCTATAAGACCTCACATGATCTATCTGGCCCCGCCTACTGCTTCACCCTGACCTCTGATACTCATCTCCTTCAGGCTTTACCTGACCCTAACTCCCGAGAGTTTCCTCTATTACAAGCTTTCAGTTCAGCACAACCCCTCTTTCAGCATTCATTGCAGATTATATAATCGTACCTTCGTGTGCTTTTTTGATTAATCTCTAAGTTCCCCAAGAAACTCTAAATCTCACGTCTGTTTTGATTGTTTTTACCAGTAATATATCGTTAGCACCTATAACAATGCTTAACACATTCTATGCACTCAATAAATATCTCTTGACTAAATTAATGAAATTTTTAGCTGTGCTTCTCTGTCGATAGTGGATTGAAAAAAGCAAATAACGGAAAAGATCAGCCCTAAAAGCAATCATAGCAACAGTAGTCTGGTAAGGTAGAAGAGGGAAAAAAACCTATAAAAAGTGGACAGAAGAATTCAGAAATCATTCAAGTCTAGAGGAAAATTGTCTTAATAATCGTTAGACATTAAGATTTTTTTTAGTAGTTTTTAATAGCATCATCATATTACAGTATGCTATAATAATTGATGTCATCGAGGAAGGGTTCAATTTTTATCTATGGTTAAGATAAGAGAGAAATTGATAATTTACCTTTAAAATACTTTAATCGAATGTTTCTTTAAAAGATTCCCCTGTCTTCTGGAGGTGAGCTTCAGTTATTGAGCAAATATACTCATTTGCTTTCCTCTTCCCACCTCCTAACAGTTTGGATAAATGAAGTATTCCCCAAGCTCACATTAGGATAAATAACCTTGTATTACAACACTTCTCTTTTGCTCAATTTGATAACTGCAAGAAAATTATTTTCAAATTCCCCTTAGTAGTTATATTCTTAACAAAAGGATTAGTATTATGTAATGTTTCACAAAAATTCTGCTGAAAAAGAGGATACTCTGTGTTGGATGTAAACCAAATTTTTTCTCATATTGCCTGAACAAAGCAAAAGAAGAAGTTTCCACTTGAATTCTAAATTGAAGATGACCTTGTGCTTTTTTGAGAAAGGCTGGCAGCTGAGGTCACTGGAGTGTATTATGATGGACAGTGCAGTGCTGTGAGTGGCTCAGAGGCATGTCCATTGTGTGGATTACAGCCAAACAGAAGGAATTAGACAGCTCAGAGCATTCTATCATTCCATTTGAAAATAATGGTCAAAGTCATGGGCAGCAACCATTACAACTTTCATAAAAGAACAGCAGCATTCAATAATTCCATCACTTCAGACAGGCAGTTTGGCTATTCTTAGCGAAATGCTGTGAATCCAGCATATTCTGTATCAATTTCTTGTGACACTCACAGAAGCAGCATTTCCACTTCTGCAGCAGGCAAATCTCATCTACACTGTATTGTGTGTAGTTCTATCTCATATGATGCAGCTCATTGCTTCAAATTGACCAAACCATTGAAAGAAACACAAGGAAAATGAAGACACAGAAACTTAACACAGCACTCTTAGAATGTAAATACCTAGCAACTCCAAATCATCCACTTTTCTCAAGCCAATTTACTGTTTTAAAAACTTAAAATCAGTTTCAAAACAAAATGTCTATAATTTCTTCTCTAATAACAGCATGAACAAAACATTTTCAAAGAAATCTAATCTGTTGTCAATGGCTCCAAGTGGGCCTCCTACGTTATTTCCGAAATAGTGATATTTAAGTAGAATATTTTGATTGATAGAGGCTTATTTTTAACTTCTGCTTCTTTCAGGAGCAGATTAATGGTACCACAAAAAAATATGTCTGCGATTTAAAAGCAGGTGGAAAAACTCACACTTCTGATTAAAAGGGGAACTGCTTCTAATCCCGTGCTTTCCACTCTGCTTGAGTGTCTTCTATATATAGGAGGAAAAAACACCACCCTGTCACTTCTAAAGTATTTAGAGACAAAAAAAAAAAAAAAGTTGTAACTTACCATTAAAATTTACAGCCCGAATATAACCAAGTAGCTCTTTCCCATCAATGGCACTCATTCGTGGGCAAAGGCCAATGTATCCAGGGCAGAGATCTTTGTGCATATTGTGCAGGGCATAAGCCATGGAATACACTGCATCAATTACAAATTGGACCTTTCCTTCCTGTTCATAAGATGAATCCCGCGCAATTCGCTCCAGCCCTGCAAAATAAAAAGGAAAACCATCAATTGGCTTTGTTAGATTTCACTAAAAGATGACATTAGGGCTAAGATTTCCATCATTTGAGGCACACTTAATGAGACAAAACGATTTGATTTTACTCCCTATTACTTTAATCCTATACTTACTGAGTTAGATTTTTAAACTGGGTATTGAATTTTTTATTTGGAAAGAACAGAAACTATTTCATTAGCAACAAAAGATATAAAGTAAATAACAGACATATAATTGCATTATCTTTGTTTCCACTTTACGGAGCCCCATTACACATTCTAGTAATTACGTAACATTTTGGTGGTGACTTGATCTTTTAAGTAAAGTGTGTAGACTGTTGTTCTTTTCATCTACTTCAGCTCCAGGAACGTCATTTAATTATGGCCCAAAGTGAGGTGGCTTTTATCCCCCCTCATGTCTGTTCTTGTTTTGAATGTGCTCTATTTGGGAGGCCTTTTTGTAAATATTAAATGACAATTTTTCTTAAGTGAACCTGGTTATCTTTAGAAGAATAATATTTATTTTCTTCTTGAACTCAATTTTCTATTTTATTTCTTTTTTCAATTTGTTTCCAGTTTTATTGAGATATAATTGACATAAAACATTGTGTAAGTTTAAGCTATACAATGTGATGATTTGATATTTGTATATATTGCAAAATGATTACCACAATAAGGTTAGTTAACACATCCATCACCTCACATAGTTGCCATTTTTTTTCTTGTGGTGAAAACTTTTAAGATCTAACCTCTTAGCAACTTTCAAGCATACAATACTGCATTGTTAACTATAGTCACCATGTTGTACATTAGATCCCCATAAATTTTCTATTTTAATTGTCTATTAAAAAGACGTAGAGCTCTCAAAATGAAATGTCATTCAGAATAATTGTATCTATGCTTAGGCATATTTAGGGCTGAGAATTGACATTGAGGATTACATTTAGCTTGGTGTTTATCATTTAATATATAATAGAAGCATAGAATTAAAAACCGAAGATCTATTCAATGTTAAATTTGGATGATGTATCATTAATTATAAACCAACATTCTCATTTCAAAGATGAGGTAACCGAGGCTCATGGAGGTGAAATTTACTGAGGGCACATAGAGCAGATATGGGAAGCATTCCCAGGTCTCAGTCTCAAAGCACAATATTCTCTCAATCCCCAGAAACATGTAGTGGATGGCAAGAATGTTGGGCACACAAGAAAAAATTACAGAAAGAACATCCAGGGCTTATTAATGAGGCCAAAAAGGAACTCCTATCACTTCCACATCTCTCCAAACCTTATATATTCAGTAACACTTAGAGAAACCAAAAGCAAGCATTTGAAACTTTCCCATGGATGTCAGTAACTTTTAATAAACAGTCTTTAAATTCAACAAATATTTCTTTTCTTCACACTAATGTATATCTCCTCTGAACATTCAGTCTATTGCACTAACATTCTAAGTTAAGTTGTTGGTATTGCTGCTCTGTAAATCCCTCTGCTGCAGACACACACACACACGCATCTCTTCTGTGAGCATTATCATTTGTTTATCTGATTTTGTTTTCTTTTGTGGACTCTAAGGAAAACAGAGGATTTCCATGTCTCCATCGCTACAGGGTGGGGTCTGGACAGAAGGCAGAAAATTGGCAGAAAATGTCCAAATCAAATTGATTCAAAGAAAGTAATGACCATGAGAACATTAAGGAATTTGGAAAATTCCCATGATCCGTGGAATATGAGTTGTATGAATGTATGAATATTTTATATTTTTAAATTCACTCTATCCCAAAATGTTCTGAATTTAATATATTATGATTTTATTTTAATCCCACTGCAACCTCCTTATCAATCTATAAAGATATTTCTGAGCACTCAATAATTGGAATAAAGTTACATATAATACTTTCCTGATAAATTGTAATAGAGATGCCCTAGCTTAACATACACACTCTTCCTTAGCTTCCCCCCAAAAAAACTTCAACTTTATTATATAATGGATTTATATTCATTCTCAATTACCACACCATCTTATTAAAGGGAAATATTTAAATTTTCACTGGTCAAACTATTTATCTCTTTGACTAGCTATAAATTCCAATTAGTTTGGGTGAAGATTAAATATATCCAACTTTGCACATTTTATTCTTTTGAAGTTCCGAAGGCTGTCTAGTGACTGTTGTCACACTTGAGTCAGTGGACGCTATAAGACTTTTTCCATAAATCAATGTAAGTACATGATGACAAACTAAAAGACTGAAACCATTACCATTTCTAAATTTAAAAAGAAATCATGTGCTTAGACAATGTGTTTTCTTTTTCCTAACACTTCAATCTCATGATGACACTTAAGATTTTACACGAGCTGGAGTTTTCTGCTCACTTCCTATATCAGCTTCTCTCACTCACTTGAAAGAGGAATTTAGGAAGCTGACATGACTCATCAACTTAATTGGTTGTAAAATTTCACTATGCTATAGTCTCTAAAGTTAGCATTAATGTATTGCTATAAAGTGCTAAATATTGTCAAAGGCTGTATGTCAGCCATCCATTTAAAACACTGATTGTAAAGTTGTGATGTGTTTTAGTGTGTGGTTTAAAATTAAGAACATACAGCAAAGTGCACAGTGGGAGATGAAGTCAGCCTCATAAATTTTATAGCAAGATTGTTTTATGTTTTCATTAACAAAATCTAAAACTTCTGACAGTATCTCCCATTCCCGGAACACATAACAAATTCTTATTGGTCCAAGCAATACCACATTTACCTCAATTAAGGTCTTTTGCACATCATGGTTTATCTTGGTTTTATTCCTTCTTAGTAAAAAGGCAAATTGGCTCAAGTTTGCAAAGTGTTGTAAACATTACAATGTGAGTTCCTAAGATGAGCCTAATAAGAATTTTAAATTATTTGACTGACACATAGTTGTTGAGCTTTGCTTTCTAAGAATCTCTCATTTCTCAGGATATAGTTTAGTTTTGTAAATTGAGATGTTGAGTTATTTTCCTCTTCCTGAAATTATGCATATAAAGTTTCTAATGTTAATGTAGTGATGACCTAATAAACAGCTGGTCAATTCAGTTGCAAAAAAGGGAAGTCACATCAGTCCTTATACTCCCAGGAGAGCAAACATCAATGGTTGAATTTTTTACTGCAGTCTTAGCATGTAGTAGAAATAATCCCACACTCTAAATATGTAGGTTTAAAAGTATTTCTTTATTTAGTTCCTCCCTGACTTCTTAAGTATGCAGCAACTATTTTAGATAACTAAATCATTTTCTTGCAGTTGTTTGGAGAGAACTGTAAATGGGAAGAAGAGAATTTGTGAGCTGCTATGAATAAAGACATTTATGCATATAGGACCAAATTTAAAAGTGATTCTGAATTCCACAAGAACTCGATGTGCCTCACTACTGGACACACCAGAGCCAAGACTGTCGTCTCTACCTTATGCTGCCCCGATACCTCACATGTATGTAGTAACTGCATAGTGGTGACTGAAGTCAGTAAGAAGCACGTCAAGAACCTCATCACATGCCAAAAAGTAATAGATATCAAGTTAGCAAACATAAGTCACTTTTTACTGAATTTAAACTGATTTGGTTTCAAGGATACAATAGGAGGAAGATGAGAAAGAAACATAAGCACGTTCAATTATACAGGACTATCTCCTAAGCACTAGGATATGCAAATGAAACATGTGTACCTCCCAAACCTCAGAGAGATGAAAACATGGGCCCTGCAGTAAGGCAGGAACACAAACTGACTGATAGAGGCAGCTGGCTACAGGAGAAAGAGGACCAACCAGTCAGGCAGATCTGAATTCGGGTCCTAGCTGCACAATTCAGAAGGCATGTGACCTTGGATACTTTCCTAAGCCTGAGCCTTCACTAGCAGAGTTGCTCACAGGGACCTCTTTGATGGGGTCCCCATATCACCAGCCTCATCTGTTGGGACGACCTCACCTCTTCCTGCACTACTTTTAGGTCCTTGAATACAACATGGGATCTCCAAACCACAGGACTTCAGTCAGATGTTCACTCTGTAACTTTCCTTACTCCGTCCCAGATATCTCTTTCTCAGCCTCCAAGCTTCAGGTAACATGTCAACTCAAGTTAGGCTGGAGGAGTAGTGATATTTAAGGATTATTTTTCCAATTTAGCAGCCTAGATAAGATCAAAGAGCATCTTAAATGCTAGGTTTAAATACTGAATATTGTTCAGTTGGAAACAGAGAGCTAAGATTGGCATTTAAAATTATTTCTGGGAATGATATGCAAAGTAAATTGAAGCAAACATATGTTGAAGGTAGAGGTACAAGTTGGGAGGCAGGGTATGTAGAGGGAAGAAATAGGTGGAAACAGTGGAAAAGAAAAAGAATGAGAGAAAATATATTTCAGATGTCAAACTGATAGTATTTGGGCACCTGATTAAATATGGGAGTAAAGGTTGGAGGCAACAAAATAAATGTGAGAGTAAGGAGTTGAGGCTAGGTAGTGGAATATCAGCACCATTGGAATTTGGAAAATCAGGTAAACAAGAACATTCAGTTTATGACAGCTCCCCAACTGCATCAAGACCTCAGTTAAAAGGGCTGATTTTTAATATTCTGTAGTATTTATTACATCCTCTAACACAGTATAGACTTTATATAAATCTGTTGAATTATTTAAAGAACTAAAAGCCCAAATGTTTAGAATAATCATGTTACAGTAATATAGTTGATCATTTATTTATAACATTGCAATAAGTTAAGCCACCGTATGCAGCGCTCCTGTAAGACTAATTGCCTGAGAAGTCAAAGACTTGTGATCTAGTTCCAAGGCCATGACAAACTCACTCTGTGTCTTTGGTCAAGTCACGGTCTTTCTAGCATTTGTTTACTTCTCAGTAGGAATTAGAGGATTGAACATGACCAATCAGGGTCCCGTCAGTTCTAAAAGACCAGATTCTAAGGCATGTTCTCTTATTCCTGTTTCCTCCTTACACTCTCTA